GAGAGGGAGGTGCGCGCAGTGGTTTCAGCAACGGCGCGGGCTGCGGGCGGGCGGCAGGGCTGGAGGCAGGGGAGAGCAGCGGTGCAGGCTGAGGCAGCCGCCACGCTCCTAGGCAGCGTTCATTTCCAGCCCGCGGTCGCAGCGTGGCTACCGCTCACCACTAGCTGGGCCCCCCTTCTTTTCAAGCCGTCAAGAAGTGGCACTGGGCGCAGCACCGGAGATGGACTGAAGGGCCGCCTGTGTCCGAGACGCTGGTGCGCAGGAGGATCGCTGAGCCCGAGATTGAGGTTGCTGTGAGGAGGCTACACCACGGCACTCAGTGCTAGCCTGGGCACAGAAGTGAGATCTGGCTCAAAAAAAAAAAAAAAATAAAAAAAAAGTTTGAAACGGGTCTTGCTGTGCAGGGTAGAGTCAGTGCGCATGGGTGTCGCCTAGCTCACAGCAACTCAACTCTGTGGGGCTCAAGCAATCTCCTGCTCAGCCTCGCTGTGAATGCAGCTGAGGTATACAGGATGGCCACCATGCGCTGGCTAATTTGTTTTGGGTATATATGGTATTTTTAGTTGGTCAATTAATTTCTTTCTCTTTTTAGTAGGAGATCGGGGCTCTCAGGCTGGTTTCGAACTCCTAGACCTCGAAGCATGATCGCGGCCTCAGCCTGTCCCAGATGCTAGGTTTCAGGCATGAGCCGACGCATGCCCGGATTATTTTTACACACTTTTAAGTGTAAATTCGGTGGCATTAAGAATATATTCACATGTTGTACAGCTATCGCCGCCGTAGTCATTTTCAGACTCTTTAATCGGGACTCAGCAGAACGTCTGGTTACCTGATTAAATGCTAATTTCCCTGTTCCTGCCTCCCCCCAAAACCTGTACGCCTTCGTATTTTGGTTCGCTTCTCTATGGAATTTGATACCCTAGTTTCTCATATAAGTACAACCATACATATTTGTCCTTTTGTGTCTGACATTATTATCATTAGGCAATACACAGTCTTCAAGGTTCCTTCTATAGTTGTAGCACGGGTCAGACTTTTTATTCTTCGTTTTTGAGGCTTTAATAGTATCTCCTTTGTTACACTTATCTTATTTCACATTTATTGTTCAGCATTCATCTGTGATGGGACAAAGGAGTGGGTTCCCATTCTTGGCTATTGAGGATAATGCTGTGGAACATTGGTGTGCAAGCGCTTAAGCGGGGCTCAAGTTTCTTAATCCTCACCTCCGAGGGAGTTTACCTCGGTCCACTGCAAGGAGGTTAATAGTCAGTTTAGGAAGAACTCATGGATCTCACTGCTACCAGAGGACCGGAGCGGTTGGAGGTTTCCATCTCTGGAAGTGTTTAATAGACAAGACGGATACTCTGCTACCCACCCCATCACGGCCCCCACTCCCAGGACTGAGCCTGCGAAATGGCTGCCCTGATAGAAAGAGACAAAGGGGGTGGCCATGGTCTTCAGCAAGGCACTGGGCGGGCGGGGCAGGGCTGGAGCAGGGAGAGCAGCGGTGCAGGCTGAGCAGCCCCCACCTCCTCAGGCAGCTCAGTGTCCAGCCCCGGTCCAGCCTCTACCCTCAACCCCCATAGCTGGGCCCCCCTCCTCTTTTCCAAGCCCCTTCCACAGAAGCGGCCACTGGGCAGGCACCGGAGATGGCTGAGGGGGCCGCAGGGGCCCGAGACCCCTGGGCTAGTGGCACAGTGTGGAGCGGGGGCTGGGGCCGAGCCCTCCCTGAGGCGTCCTCCTTGCTCTGCAGCCATTGGCTGCAGGACCTCAGGCTGAGTCGCCCCCGACAGGCGTCTTTTTCTTGGGCCGGGTCTTCAGTGTTTTGGAAGTCAGTGGCTGTGGTGGTGGGGGGGGGAGACAGGGCTCAGCCTGGCACCGCACCCCCCCCATCTCCCCAGGCTCCACCCGCCCTCTCACCTCAGCTTTGGGCATTTTTTTGATGGATTTGGCCCGCTTGGGAGCCTTGTCTCCCATGTCATCCTCAGAGGCCTCTGTCCGGGCTTCTGCCTGGCTCGTGCTAGATCTTAAACTCAGCGCAGGGTCATCTGGTTGCAGGGAGAAGAGGAAACCAGGGGTCTTTCCTAGCCGGCCTCCTTGCCCTGGGGGCCCCCTGCCCCCACCCGGGGCCCTGCCAGTACCCAAGTCCTCGATGGTGTCCAGAAGGCCGCCGGGGCTGGGTCGGAGGCGGCTGTCAGGACCCTGGAGGGGCAGCGCGTCCTCATCCCGGATCAGGGTCAGGTCCTGCATGCTGAAGCTCCGGAGCTTCTCTGACAGCACCCCCTGGCCCTGGGGTCACCACCACGCACCGGAGAGCGGGGGAAGGGGCGGGGTGGAGATCGAGGTCACTCTGGCGCTGGCAGCAGCCCGGGGCTCAGTGCTTCGCCCACACTGCCCTCCCCCAGTCCCACACAGCACGGAAAGGCTGGGGCCGTGCTGGGCAGGTGAGGAAACTGCAGCCAGACGGTGGAAGTGACTCAGCTGGAGAGGGGGCCAGCCAGGACGGGAGCCCCAAAGCCTCCACAGCCCCAGGCACAAAGTGGGCACCAAGGGGCCTGGCCAGGGGCACAAGATGAACACAGTGGGGGTCCTAGGAGTCTGGGCCTGTCCCCATCTCACCTTGGCTGCAGCTGTGACTGCGGCATTGGCGGCCAGGTTGAGGCCCCTCTTGCCCACTCGCATCATGGTCTCGTAGCTCTTGTCCCGGGCCTGCGTGATGTACTCGTCTATCTCCTGAGGGGTCGGAGGAGAGGGAGGAAGGGGTCAGAGGGGGTTGCTTGCCCTGCTCTTGTGCACACCCGGGCAAAGGCCCTGCCTGCTCCAGGAGGCCATGGCCCTGCCAGGTCACTGCAGGCTCTGGGCACCCACAGCGCTGGGCTGCCTGGGCTGGGGCGGGCTGGGCCGTAAGCTGAGAATGGGTGCAAACCTTCTCCTTGTTGGACAGCGTTGGGTGCACGAACTTGCGGTAGAGCACGCTGGAGCCCTTGGTGTAAGGGGACAGCAGCCAGATTACGAAGGCGATCTTGAGCTCAAAGTAGAAGGGGAACCTGTTGGGGGACAGAGGTGAGCACAGAGTAGAGGGCAGGAGGTGCACCGGGCTTAGCGCCGGCCCCACACGGGAAGGCAGTCCCTCCCCCGCAGGACGCTTGGGTCTCCACAGGTCTCACGGGGCTGGTTGTTTCTAATTGCAATGGACTCCAGATGGGGCGGCTCTCCCCGCCTGCCTCTCACTGCCAGAGAAGCCCTCCGTGCCTCTGCCCTGGGGTCGACGCCAAGGTGACCTCCCTGACCTCGAAGGCCACGCCTGGGTCGTCACCCCTTCCCTTCCTGCCCCCTCCCGTGAGGAGGAGGGTCTCTTCCAGCTGTGCTCTGGGTCCCTCCCTCCCTCCCTGCCTCGACATACTCCCCCAATCCCCCTACCCCTGGCTTAAGGACCACTAAGGACTGCTCTCCATTCCCCATGGCTCCTTCTCTGTGCTCATACGCCTCATCAAAGCTCTTTCCTACGCTGTGTCAAGACGCATCAGTACTCACTGCCCTCCCTTCTGTTTTTTTGTGTGTGTTTTTTGGGGTTTTTTTTGAGACAGAGTCTCACTTTGTTGCCCAGGCTAGAGTGAGTGCTGTGGCGTCAGCCTAGCTCACAGCAACCTCAAACTCCTGGGCTCAAGCGATCCACCTGCCTCAGCCTCCCGAGTAGCTGGGACTACAGGCATGCGCCACCATGCCCAGCTAATTTTTTGTGTATATTTTTAGTTGGCCAATTAATTTCTTTCCATTTATGGTAGAGACGGGGGTCTCGCTGTTGCTCAGGCTGGTTTCGAACTCCTGACCTCGAGCAATCCACCTGCCTTGGCCTCCCAGAGTGCTAGGATTACAGGCGTGAGCCATCGTGCCTGGCCTGCCCTCCCTTTCTAACCCATCTCTTTCCCCCACTGAAACTGTTTTTCTCCAACACGAGGGCCCTGTCTACAAATGCAAGGAACGCTTGTCCTCTGCCCTCGGCAAAACTCTGTTCTCTCAAAGGCCAACGTGGTCAGCGTCTGTTAGTCTTCACTTCTAAGAGGCATCTGCTCGTTCAGGAAACGTTTCTGAGCTCCTGCCGTGAACGTGCACACGACTGAGACACACTCCCTGTTCTCAGAGTGCCTGGGAAATGCCTTGGAAATGCAAGCGTCCAGGTTTATAGGATTCAGTCCCGTGCCTATTTTAAAAACAGGGAAACCGAAGCCTAGAGAGCTGTGACCTGCGCAACGTCGCAGGCAGCGTGGCAGAGGCAGGTTTCCTGAATTCTATCGTGGGGCTTTGGCTGGCACCAGAAAGAGATGCCGGGCCAGGTCCTTTCACATTCTGCTGACCAGGGCCGCTGGGCGCAGGGGACTGCACCCCGGGTGACATCTCTTGTTTGTTTGGCTGGCTGGACAGGGACAGGCAGGGGCCCCGGGCGCTGGGCTGCGGGGGGTTCTGGACCTCACCAGGAGAGCACTATGTCCGTGAGCGTCTCGGCCGTGGTGAAGAAGGCAAAGACGATCCAGTACATCATCCATTTCACCTGAGGGCACAGAGGGCTGTGTTGGCTGGGGCCTGGGGCGGACGGGCCAGGAACACGCAGGACCCCCAACCTTGCCTGCCAATCATGCCGCGGGATGGGACACCCAGGACCCTCCTTTGCTGAGTCTTGTTAGTGGCTGATGGCGTTGGTACAAAGGAATGTGACCCACTGTCCTCCCGGATCTCTGCCGTGTAGGCTGGGGAGAGGGGGAAGGGTCGTCCACTCACATATTCCTTCACGTTTTTTGTCTTCACGGCCTTGTAGGAAGAGTAGGCTGGGTACAGGGTGCCGAAGATGAGCCTAAGGGGGCAGGCAGGGTTACTGGGCCCACCCGCCACGGGCAGTGGCCTCTCCCTCCCAGCTCCGCATCAGCCCCTGGGTAAGTAAGGGGAAAAGGGACAGAATTCCCGAGTGCCATGTCAGCTGGACTGATGGACTCAGGTCAGGGCGAATGTCAAAGCAGTCAAGATTCAGGTGACACACGTCAGGCCCAGCCAGCTAGGGTGATGCCCCTCCCCCCTCCATTGTTCAGTTTTTCTCTAGTCCCTGAGGCAAGAGAGACCCAGAGGCCAGAAGGGCCAGTGTGGTCCCTTGGGCTATGATCCCTGGGGAGTCATGGGGAGTAGGGGGTCTTGTCACTGCCAGGGGTGTCTTCCTTCTCGACCTCATGCCCATTCTCATGCATCTGCCCTGCCACCTCCCTGTCTCAGAGCCGGGCTGGGTAGGGGCCTCTCTTGCAAGGGAACTCGACACCACCTCACAGGGCATTCTACCTGGCAGTCAGAGGCACTACTGTGGCCCTGGGGACCTGGGGACAGAGGGCACAGGGGCAGGAGGTCCTGGGAAGGGCAACAGATTTATTTCTCCACGTAAACACCCCAGGCCCAGGCTCAGGGCAGGGTCCTGGCTGGTGCTCCCGTCACAGAGCACAGACAGGGAGGGAGGAAGGGAAGAGGACCAGTGTCCTTTAGGGAATGTGCCGAGCAGGAGAGAAGCAGCCACCCTGAAGGCCACGTGGAAGTGTGAGGGCCCTAGATTCCCTCTGGGGTGGGATGGGAGGAGAGAAAGGGAGGACTCCAGTGCGTCTAGATGAAACCAGGACACAAGCATGTGACGGCATTGAAGGGGAAGAAGGCAGCAGGGCGGGGCTGTGGGGTGTCAGCCTCCGCAGTAGAGGCTGAGGGGCAGGGTCTCGAGCTAGGGCAGGAGTCAGGCCCAGCCCCTTGACAATTGTGCTGAGGCTGCCTGTTCCCACAGCCCGCCTGACAAGGCAGGATACTTCCAACCTGGCCCTGGGTGCTGACTGAGTGCAGGGCAGAATCCTCAAGGACAAAGTCTGGGTGGGGGTAGAGGGCAGGGGTGGGGGTGGGTGGAGGGGTATGTTCCCTCCTAGAGCCTAGGGAGGGGCCAGGGACAGAGCTCCACGGTGTGGCTGGCAGCCTGGGATGAAGGCCACCGAACGTCCTGCCCCCAGTGGCTTTCACAGTCCCAGGCTGAGCGCACACATCCTCCTCTGCCGGTTACCTCCCACACTTTGTCCTCCAAGCACCTCAGCTTTGATACCCGGACCGCCTCCCTGGGGGGCCTTAAGGGCATGTGTCCTCATCCCCATCTCTTGACAGTTAGTGGGAGGGTCAGGAGGGCCCGGGCCCTTTGGGGAGGCCCGGGGTGCTGGCCACGGCCCTGCGTGCTCCGTGCTCTTTTCTATTGCCCCTCTCCCCCCACCCCGCCCCGCCCCCGGGAGTGGAGGGCCCAGACCTGCCAGGTGGGGGAGGGGACGTGCCTGCCTCCCCTCATAAATCAAGCCGTCCCCTCAGCCCCTAGGATGGGCCCTCAGCCCCTAGGATGGGCCCTCAGCCCCTAGGATGGGCGCACGAACAGGGAAATAAAAAATAAAGGCGGTTTTTAAAAATAACGCGGTGAGGTCCCTGCGAAGCCAGGCCTGCCATGCTCCCCTAGGATTCCCCCTCTTGTCCTGGGTCCCGCATCTCCATGTCTCTGGGGACGCGGTGCTGCCTTTAGGTGACCCTGCCGTGTGAACCCGAGCGGTCCACGCCGGCTCCCGCACGCCCGGACCCCCGGCACCAGCCCGCATCGCCCGCCGCCCCGCCGCACTCACACCACCAGGCGGGAGATGATCCAGGACACCATGGCGGGCCGCCGCAGCGCGGGGCGGGGACCGGCCCGGCCCGAGGATGCAGCTGCCCGGGGCCGAGCGGCAGCGGCAGCAGGAGCCGCAGGAGCAGCAGCAGCAGCCGCCGCGGGGGCAGCGGAGCGCCGAACCGCCGCCGTTAAAGGGGAGGTCCCTGCCGCAGCGGCGGGCCGTGGGCGGCGGCGGCTCTTAAAGGGGAGGCCGCGGCGGCGCGCCCCCACCCCTGGCACCTGCTGTGGCCGGGCATGCGCCTCCAACTCGCAGTGTCCTGCCTTCCTCTGATCGCGTTTTTGCCTTCCTTGGGTTTCAGTACCTGGGCTGAGGTCCTGAAAACAGCTCCAGCCCACCTCCTGCGCTGCCCGCATCATGCTGAAAGGCTTAAATATCCCAGGAGGAATAATAGCTGTGATTTCTTGAGTGCCTATTGTGTGCCAGGCCCTGTGCTAAGAGGTTCACACGCATTATTTCAGTGAATCCTCTTGACCATCCTGTAAGGCAGAGGTTATAATTACCCTCATTTTGAAAATAAGGAAATGGGAAGCTTAGGAAGTTTCAGTAATTTGTTGAGGGTCACAAAACCACTAAGTCATGCTGCTAAAATACAAACCCAAGAAGTCTACCTAAACAGGCTACATCCTTCAACTGCTGACTAGCAAGCTCTTCTGCCCCATCACAGGCCTTGTAAAGACATCCATCCACCTGAGCTCAAGTCAAAGGTAGGGCTGCACCTGTTCACCTCACTCCTTGACAATCTCCAATCACCCCCAGTTGAAAGAGGACCTCCTCTGGCCATATGATCTGCCTTTTTATGTTGTCAGTTTCTAAGCTTTACAGGGGAATAGAGCTTGGTGCTCTCAAGGTGGATACTCTCCCAAGGCATCAGACCTTCTTTTCAGAGGGGCTAGGACTCAGGTCAGACATGGGCCCAGGGGCTACAATTCCACCCCCATCAACAAACGCTGGTGGCAGTGGATGTCCTAATTCCGAAAACATTTATATCCAGAATGTAGGCTAGCCTGCCTCCTGATTTTCACCAAAGCAACCAAGCTCCAGTACCCCCCCACACCACTGCTCTCCTTTCCTGTCCCATTTTAAAGCTTCTGAATTCCTCTGCCCTTTATGTTGAGGTGTAATCCTTTTGGTGACCATAGCATCAACCTGTGCTCATCTAGGCTGAAAGGACACATTCAGAGCTCTGTATTTCAAAGAGTTATGGTCTTATTCAAACTCAATATCCTTCAACCACACAATGGTCTATTTCCAACCTAGTAATTATATTTCCAGGCTCACTTTGGAAGACGTTTTCCAAAAGGTTCCAGAGAAGCAGCCTCCGATGACCCCTCTTGCTATTCTTTACAACTTCCTCTCCAAAAGGCCTCTTCTAATTGGAATGCAGTCTGTTCTCACCCCTCAAGAAACTTTAATGGCTGCTTGATAAACAAAAATAAACCCCATCTGGGCCATCTCCCACCATCTCCAACGTGGATCTCGGACCACATGTTTCATATGTGGGCAGCCAGACCTCCTGCTTTGAGGAATCCCACCAACGACTGCCTAAAACCCTGCTCAGGCCACACACCATGGCTCTTTCTCCCAAGACTCTGCCCCAGAAAGGTAGGACTCCACCTCTCCTACTCCATTCGCAGAGCATAAACTATGAAGAAATCACTCTCTCCTGCCACCCTCTAATTTATGTGGCCCCTTCTTCTTATCCCCAAGTCCCTAAATCATACTGACCTCACCCTGGTACTTTCCTATCTCCCAACTGGGCACAAGTTCAGGAAGCAAAGAATAGTAATTGGGTGCAGCACAGTAATGAAGACCTGGAAATGAATCCCCCACCTGCAACCTAGCCCTCAATTTGACATTGATTTTAGAAGGGTTGGCACAGTAAGAATTTAGTCCACTCCAAACAGATTTGTTAGATTTTTAATAAGAACATGGAAATCCCAATCAGCCCTTCAACAAAATTAAAATACAGAAAGTGAAATTAAAAGTATTCTACAGTAAATGACTTTTATTTAAAAAAAAAAGTAACTGTGAACATATAAACAAGCCTGCAGGGCACTACAGTACAGCCGGAAAGAGATACATTTCCCAATGCACTCATGGGCCAATGAATTCCATCATTTTCAAATAAATTCTTAAAACTCCACTGAGTTGGAAAGTTTTGCTGAAAATATTTCTGGACAAAAAACAAAAAACACCTCATGTTGGAAATCAAACTGTCCTTCCCACTTGGAAACATGAGCGGAGTCCCCAGGGAGCGCTGGTACTGGGTGAACATGGTTCCTGGAGTCACCAGCGTGTGCACGCAGCGAACACACCACAGCTCAGATGCGACAGAGTCTTTCTCAGATGACTGTTCCCTCAAGATAAGACTGAGATGGGAGGGGGAGAAACTAAAGAATTCTAAAAAGCCAATTCTTTTAAATTCTGCTTTGGCTGATTTTGTGCTATAATGGGCAGCTGATTTCTAAAAATCATATTTCTTCAAAGAGTTTTATCGAAAGGAAGACTAAATGTAATGTGCCTTTCCTCATAATCCAGGAAAACAACTGTGGTATTTCAAAAATTCTAAAAATATCTACTTTCATGAAATAGTAACTATTTCACTACAAACCTATTTTTCACTAAATACACACATTTCCTAATCCTGGAGCCTCCTGGGAAAAGCAGTGGGTTCTCCCTGGGTCCTATAAGACTCCAGTGTCCATGGGAGAGAGTGTGGGGAATGGCTTCACCCCGTCTCCTGGGATGGGCCCATCAGAGGTCATGTGCAGAGACGCTGTTAGGCTCCCACCAGGCATGTTTAAGCAGTTACCTCTACCTGTACCAGTTATGTGATTCCCTCCACCTTCAAACACATTCCCACTTAGCTAGGCACAAGAGGAAAAGAAAAGAAAGGTGTGCCCACATTCCTGGTTTCCACAAAATCTCAAACCAGGAGAATGTGCTGGAAAGCCTGGCGATGTTCAGGCAATTCGGATTCCCAAAAGGCCACAGGATAGGGATGTGGCACCCTCGGCTTGGAGTCTGAAACTGTGTGTGTGAACAGTGCAACGTTCCTGTGTCACCTTCGGTGTTGAGGCAGCATAGAAGAGAGTGGCTGGAGAGTTTGTAATACTGACCACACTGGCTCCAGGAAGGACCTCTGCTCCGGCAGAGATCCCTGCCGTTCCCTGTAAGTGTTGTGAGTGAAAGGCCAGCTGCACAGGGGAGTTCGGAATTTCTCCGTGCCTAAGACCTTGCCAGTTTGGATTCATGAGCCTTGAGGGTGCCAACAGCATCTTTCACTGCATGGTAGATGATGTTCTTCACCTGGAGAGAGTGATCAGCACAGTCAGTTCATGGCAGCCCCACGCTGTATTCTGCAAATGCAAATACATGTTCTACCTTGACTATAAGACTGCTGGTTGAGGAAACCCCCAGCAATGACTGTGTGCTTCCCACATAAATCACCAAGATGATTTACAAGTCACAGAGGTCTGCATTCAAAAAAGAATGATAAAATCATTTGAAAGGCTATGTAATCACCATCATCTATGTGCGCTCTATCTAAGCTCTCTATGTGGACTTTCATTTAATCCTTGCCATAAGCCTATGAGGTGAATTCTATCATTATCCCCATTTCACAGATAAGAAAATGAGGAAAACCAAGGTTCTATGGTAAAGAACTTTGCCTAAGGTCCTACAGCTAATAATGATACACTCAAACAACAGTGAAGGCAGGATTACAGGATTTTTTTCCTTTTGCACTTGTATGTATTTTCTAATTTGTCTAAAAAGAACAAACATTATGTGTGTAGTTGGATGATACAATAAAAGTTATTGAAATAGTGAAGAGACTTATTAAAATAAAGTGAATAGGCTGAAGATAGATTTTAAAAAGGGCTGACATGAAAACTGTAGTTATTTCTGGGGAAGGAAAATAGGGAAACAGGAAAGGGAAGGGTACGTGGGGACTTCAACAATGTAGTTGCTGTATATGTTGTGTGTGTCTGTATATTTTGTTTGTTTGCTTGTTTCTGGAGACGGGGTCTTGTTCTGTTGCCTGGGCTAGAATATGGTGGTATCACCATAGCTCACTGCAACCTCAAACTCCTGGGATCAAGCGATCCTCCTGCCTCAGCCTCCCAAGTACCTGGGACTACAGGTGTGCACCACCATGCTCGGCTAGTTTTTCTATTTTTCTGTAGAGACAGGGGTCTTGGCCTTGCTTAAATTGGTCTTGAACTCCTGCCCTCAAGTGATCTTCCTGCCTCGGCCTCCCAAAGTGCTAGGATTACTGGCATGTCCCATGTATGTATATTTCTTAAGGTGAGTGATGGGCACACAAGTCATCATTATGATATTCTCTATTCATTTTTTGGCACTACTTCAACAAATATTTATGAGTACCTCCTGTGTGTGTCCAACATTGTGCTAGGTAAAATCAGTGAATGAAATAGTAAAATACCTCCCTTTACAGAGCTTAAATAGCTTATATTCTAGTAGGAGTAGTAACAAATAGATAAAATAAATAGTATTTCAGATGAAAAATACTATAGAAAAAATAAAGCAGTGAAAGGTGTTTGGGAGTCCTGTTGCAGGAGTTGATGTTGTTATTCTAAATAGGGTGGCCGGGAAAGGTCTTATGGGTAAGGTGACATGTACTAGTAGAGATCTGAAGGAGCTGAAGTCTGAACTATGTATATCTGAATATTTATATTATATCTATAATACCAATGTAATTATTCTTTGTATAAGAACTTATGGTGGCCGGGCGCGGTGGCTCACGCCTGTAATCCGAGCACTCTGGGAGGCCGAGGCAGGCGGATCACTTGAGGTCAGGAGTTCGAAACCACCCTGAGCAAGAGCGAGACCCCCATCTCTACTAAAATATAGAAAAGAAATTGATTGGCCAACTAATATATATAGAAAAAATTAGCCGGGCATGGTGGCGCATGCCTATAGTCCCAGCTACTCGGGAGGCTGAGGCAGCAGGATTGCTTGAGCCCAGGAGTTTGAGGTTGCTGTGAGCTAGGCTGACGCCATGGCACTCACTCTAGCCTGGGCAACAAAAGTGAGACTCTGTCTCAAAAAAAAAAAAAAAAAAAAAAGAAAGAAATTAATTGGCCAACTAAAAATATATGGAAGAAATGAGCCAGGCATA